GGTTCTGACTCGATGAACACTTTTGATCTTCACTCCCTCCAAACCTTTTCCCCTTCTTCCTCCTCTCCATCATCACTGATTAATTTTCAGCAAAGAGAAATTTGGATCTTAAGCACCTTCCTGTCATCATTACTGTATCTGCTTACATATTTTCCCTCCTCCCATATTCCACACCATCTATTTTTGACAATTGGGTACAAAGTGTATTTGTCTGGTTTTGTTTTTGCCAGTACAGAATTTCATCCTTGGTGGGCTACTTGTTACTAACAATTGCAGCCCTGAGAGGCTAAAGTTCTGATGAAAGAAACTGCGAAACAGAGAGTAACACGTCAGTTATCTCATCAAGCCTTTAGAGGTTCCACTCTAGAGGACAATGAAAACCAGGAGAAAATAGCACTCCCCTTAGCCATATGCAATCAGCTCAAACCTTCCCTATATTTAGGAGGAAAGACTGAGATGGGAGAATGAAGGAAATAAAATAAATAGCAATGATCCTGGCAGACTGCTGACAGTATACTTAGCTCTGAATTACGGCTGGGTTTCATGCATCTTTTACCATCTCATTCAATGTCTCTTAAAACTCATGTAGGGATGGGGGCTAGAATATCAGCCAGCACTTGATCACCTCTCTGACTTCTTGGATTATAATTAGGATCCTTCTAAATTTACCATCTTCCCTGGGGAGCAGTAGAAGAAAACTACCCAGAATAACCACTGTACATCTCATGAAACAGACTGTACAAGTTTTAACCAATTTTGTCAGGCTTCTTTTAATGAGGTCAAGTTTATTTGGTCATCATGGCGGGGGAAGTAAATTTAGAGAAATTGTCCCTAAACACACGACATCTCAATGAGAGCAAGTACTCCAAACGTCCGTGAAAAAAATTATCCATTTGAACTCTTTTGCAAAAAATGACCAGTACTGAAAATAAAAATAAAGAGTATTCACTGGGTCCTTTCGTATTTTACTTTGAAGTCCTGAACAGTCAAACATATTAACAACATTGGCTAATGATACTACTTTGCATTTGTATGATGCTTTCAAAATCCTTCCCTTATTTCATTTGTTATTAATAATTATATTGTGATCTATGGAGAACAGAAGAATTCATGACCAAACAGGAGATAGAGAACATATGAAAAGCAAAATGGATAATTCTGATTACATTAAATTGAAAAGTTTTTGCACAAACAAAGCCAATGCAATTAAGATTAGAAGGAAGGTAGAAAATTGAGAATTTTTACAACCAGTCTCTCTAGTTGTAAAGGCCTCATTTCTAAAATATATAGAGAATTAAGACAAATTTATAAGAATACAAGCCATTCCCCAATTGATAAATGGTCAAAGGATATGAACAGACAGTTCTCAGATGAAGAAATTAAAGCCATCTATAGTCATATGAAAAAATGCTCTAAATCATTATTGATTAGAGAAATGAAAATCAAAACAACTCTGAGGTACCACATCACACCTATCAGATTGGCCAACATGACAAAACAGGAAAATGATAAATGTTGGAGAAGATGTGGGAAAATTGGAACACTAATGCACTGTTGGTGGAGTTGTGAAATGATCCAACCATTCTGGAGAACAATTTGGAACTATGCCCAAAGGGCTATAAAAATGTGCATACCCTTTGACCCAGCAATAGCACTTCTAGGGCTATATCCCAAAGAGATCAAACAAATGGGAAAAGGACCCACATGTACAAAAATATTCATAGCAGCTCTTTTTGTGGTGGCAAAGAATTGGAAATTGAGAGGATGCCCATCAGTTGGGGAATGGCTGAGCAAGTTGTGGTATATGAATGTAATGGAATACTATTGTGCTATAAGAAATGATGACAGGATGACTTCAGAAAAACCTGGAAAGACTTGTATGGTCTGATGCTGAGTGAAGTGAGCAGAACCAAGAGAACGTTGTACACAGTAACAGCCATGTTGTGAGATGACTAATATTGATAAACTTAACTCTTCTCAGCAATACAAGGATCTAAGACATCTCCAGAGGCCTCATGATGGAAAAAGCTATCCACATCCAAAGAAAGAACTATGGAAGTTGAATTGCTATCATTTTTTCTTCTCTTCTGTTGAGTTTTGTTTCCTCTTTCCGATGGTTCCTCCTATTGGTTTTAATTTTTACTTACAACATCACTAATGTGAAAATATGTTTAATAGGAATGTAAATGTATAGCCTATATCAGATTGTGCGCTGTCTTGGGGAGGGTGGTGGGGAGGAAGGGGGAGAAAAATTTTAAACTCAAAAGCATATGGAAGTGATTGTTGATAAATCAAAATAAATTAATAAAATTTAAAAAAATAATTATATAGTAACATATTAATAGCAGCTGATATTTATATTTTCCTTAAGGTTTACAAAGGCTTTACAAACACTATTCCACTAGAATGTAAGCTCCTTGAGAGTTGGATTTTTTTTTCATTTTTTTATGTGTATCCCACAGTGTCTGCACATGGTAGGTGCTTAATAAATGTTTGTTGATTGACTGTCTCATTTAAAATATCCAACTATCCTACAAGTTTTATTATCCTCATTTTGTAAATGAAGAGACTGAGGCTCAGAAAGATTAAGTGACTCATTCATGGTTACACTGGCAAGTGGGAAAGAAAATAACCTTGGAGAAGGCAGTTTGAGCTGAGTGGTTGGTTAGAAACTACATTGTGAGAGATTGAGAAGTGAGTGAGAGAAGATAAATGAAAGGCAGTAAACAGAACCAGCTTTTTCTAGGAAAGGGGGTAGAGATATTTCATGATAGCTCAAGAAGATGGTAGAGTCATCTGGATTTTTTTAAGGATGGGAGAGACTTAGAGGCAGCATGGAAGGATCCAATAGATAGTGGCAGAAAATTAGAGAAAGAGAGTATGCTTATAGATACAAGCTTCTAAAGAAAATGGGAGGTCATGATATCAAGGACACAAATAGAGGCACTAGTCTCCATGAAGAGTAGGACCATCTCATCATCAGAGACTAGAACAAAGAAGAGAGAAAAAAAGGATGATGTTGAGGGATTTTGAGATTTAGAACAGAAGAGACAGAGCTCATGGTAAATAGTTTCCATTTTTCTCAGCCAAGTATGAGTCAAGGTTCTCTATTGAGAGGATGGGGATAGGAGATAGTGTGGCAAGTGTAAGAAGAAAAGATTTTAAACAACCACTGGGGGGAGGGCAGTGATGTGTCAATTAGAGAAGGGTAAATGGATTATCCTGTAGCAGTGAGAGCCCAGTTGGCATCTGATATACAAAGAAGGTAGATGGTGGGGGTTAGCAAAGCATGAGTGATGATAGAACAAGAAGACAAGGTTTTCAAGGTTTTCTCTTCAGTGAAGAGAGTATAAAGTTGAACTGATTAATTAAAGGATGAAGATTGAGAAAGAACATAAACAAAGCAAAGATGGCCTGGGAGTGCCTTAAGTGATGGAGTGACTAGAGGTCATGGTGAGCAAGAAGCAGAGGGTTAAGAGGAATGAGGTATTGACTAAGCGGTCAACAGTCACAATTCCAAAGGACCAGCTTCCAGGAGAAGCATGCTGCTTACCTCCTGACAAAGAAGTGATGAACTCAAATTGGAGAATGAGACATACATTTTTAGATGTGACCAAGCAGGGAATCTGCCTTGCATGTTGTTACTCATAGTTGCCTTTTTCTTTCTCTTTTCTGTTTTAGTGGGAGACGGCAACAAGAGAAAGGAGTTGGGGGTGGGAGGGGTAGAGAAATTAAATGATTGAACAAATCAAATTGATTCTTTTTTTAAATGGAGGGGTCAGGCACAGGGAGAGATACAAAAATTGGAGATTATAGTCAGAAGAATTTCAGAGTTTTTAGTTGTGGAAGTGAAACATTTATTGGTGACAGTGAGCTTATGAATATGACCTTACCACAGTGCCTGGCACATAGTAAGCACTTAATTCTGAATAACTGATTGATTGATTAACCTGGGTGTGACTGAGATACAATAAAAGTGCAGAGCATGGGAATTGAGAAAGTTAATAAACTGAGAAAACAAGGCTTTGAGAAGACATAATACAAAGGTTGAAGCCTTCAAAGATAGAGAAGACACTGTAAGCCAGAATAAAATTCCTTGCTAAAGGAAGAAGAATGACTTAGCTCCAGATATGGTGATATATCTAGACAGATATATATTTCCTCAAAGGAGGAGAAGTTGATGAGTGGTGGAGGCAGGGGATAGAGATTAATTCAAAAGGGGTCAGGCCAAGGCTAAGGTCATAGCCATGTAAGTACATGCAAGCAAAGAGCACATCCAGACGAGAGGCATAACAAAAATAGGGAAGTCCAGAAATGAAAAAGATGTGGGGGAGGTGGGGGAGGTTATTAATTCAGTTTTGAACATATTAAGTTAAAGGTTCTTGTGGAATATCCAAGTGGAAAAGTTAGAGACACAGGGCAGGAGTGAAAGTGAGAGAGGAGGTTAGATATTCATGTTTGTCACATCTCCTATTGAACTGCAGCTCAGAACAATTAGAGTTAAAGAAGCCATTATTTAGAAAGAGAAAATTACGTTTTGCCTCAAGGTAAACAACTCAAATCCCAAAGGGCTCCTGTTCATTTCCAAATACAAAGACCACTGGAGAATGTTTTTGGAAAGATGCAAAACGCATTCACATATTTAGCAAAATCAATTTCCTGGATGAAATAATACAGTGTACAGCATCTCTAGTTTCTCATAATAATGGTAAAGATGAAGAATTTTCATTTGGACTATGCTATCCCAAAATTTTATTTGTTTTCATTACCTGCAAAATGTCCGTTTTTATGAGTGCTTGAGATCTTCCTTAGCATTAGAATGTTGGCCCATAAAAAAGGACCATAAAAGCTTCTTGGAAGTTGTTAAGCAAAAGCAAAAGCAACCAGTGCTCTCTCTTCTTCCTCTTTTGAAATTTTTTCTATGTGCCTATGCCCGGAAAAAGAGAGTTCAATTTGATTCTCTTCAAAAAACATTTAATAAGTGATTACTCTGTACCTAGGTAGCTGGGTAGTTTAGAAGACAGAACGCTGGACTTTGAGTAGAGAAAGCCAGATACTGACTAACTTCGGGATGCTTGGTAAGTGACTTAAACTCTTTTGAACTCAGTTTCCTCATCTGTAAAATGGAGATAATAATAGCAGCTACTCCATAGGATTATTGTAAAGATGAAATGAGGCAATAGGTGATTCTGGAGGAGAGAGTGAGGCTGACAACTTTGAGCATGTTGAATCCAATTCATGCCCAGTCAAGACATCACCCTTGTGATGTCACTGGTACTCTTTGAGAAACCAAGGATGAACAACAAGAGATGTAATAAAGCATTTTGCAAACCTTAAATGCTATATTGTGAACATTATTATAAGAGAAAAAGGCATGTTATCACATTAACTAGAAAACTAGCCTCCTAGTCAGGAAGCTTTTGAGTCCTGCCCTTAAGGCATGCTGGCTAAGTGACCATGGGTCAAGTCACTTAACCTCTCAGTGCCACAGGCAACTCTTTGAGACTATGAATGATAGATGAGTTGCTGACCTGCAGCAGTGGAGGGAGTTTCCACACCAGAAGTTCTCCCACACTGATGAAAATTAGTGTGGATGCCTCACACAGACTCACCAAGCATATTTATATCACATTCATATTTCCCATATTCTTCATATTTTGTCAGAATAAATCTGAAAGATACTATCCAGTAATAATTTCTTTCTTCTTTGGAGCCATTGTTGTATGTTTATTTCAGGGAGTAGAGGGGGTCAGTTGTCCATCCTTTCCAAGCTTGCTTATGTAAGGAACACATGTTTTTAGTGGACCCCTTGGGCAGGGGGTCTGATTGAGACAAAAGGGGGATGGAGCCCTTTGCAGAACACCATTTTTAGTCATATAAAACAAAATACATAAGATTACAAGAAAATCACAAATTAGTAAAAATAAAGATGTAATTTTTTCCTATCCAAGTTCACTACCCTCTGAAAACCACCAGAGTCTATGTATCATCCTAGGTTAAGAGCCCCTACTTTAGACAACAGGAATCTCAAGGACATGAAAAAAGGCCTAGAGAGAAATCACAGTACAATGGAAAGAGGACTGATCTTCAAATCCTGTCCCTGAGGCTTCTCACCTCTGGTACCTAGGGCAAGCCACTCAGCCTTCTTGAGCCTCAGTTTCCTCATTTGTAAAATGACGGAGCTAGTATAAATGCCCTCTAACTTCCCTCAAAGCTCTAGTTCTATGATTCTAAATTCAGAAATTGCTTATCTTCCTAAGTATATTAAAATTATTTTATCAGTTCTATGGCTATGTGTGAACCTTCAGGAATCCATAAAAATTCACTATCCTGTCTTGGGGCTTATTTTATTTCTCAAATCACCTGGCCATGAAAGCCAGATTTATGGACATGACTGCTCTGACCTGGTATCTCCTTTGCCTTAAGGAACACTAGCCCTGTTAGCAGCAGGCCCCAGACTCCCCCCTCCCAGAATCATCTCCACTCCTGATTTATTACCAGTTCAATCCAGTGAGGCCCAGAATTAACTTATTAATAGGCAGACTCCCCTATTTCCAGCTGGGTAAGAACAGGCAGAAGACAGGTGTCAGCCCTAGTCAACACCTCCTGTTTTATGAGCAGACTCGATTTAATTCACAATTTACACCTCTAGAGAGGCAGAGAGAATAAAAATAACTGTGTTTGTGTTTTTTTTCCTTTTGACTTTCTCTTCTCCCCTTTCTCCACTCCAAATCCATTTTCACTAATGAGGTTTCATTTTATTTCCATTCCTCAATTACAAGCTACAACACTGCAGTGCTTTCCGGGGAGGCTGTACGAAATAACTAATGTCATTGCTCACACAAGAAGAGACCGTTTTTTCCGTACTGCTAACTCCTCTCCCTTCCTGAACCAAGCCCCAGGCCTTTCTGCAGCTTCTGCGTTTTCTTGTAAGGACAATTCCTCTCTCGGAGAAGAGAGTGATTATGATCTCATCTCTCATAAATCTTCTCTGGCTTTAAAGCAACAGTGGAAGCCTTCTGCCGATAAGAAGCATTGAGAGGGGATTAATGGAAAGAATTTTTTCCCAGATGTTTGGGTCAAGTAAGTGAGTCGTTAATACATTGGTCAGGATCTTTGGACTTATCAAACACTATGATACTGCATTTATTTTCTTCTGTATGTCACATACCCAATATGTTCCACGGATCCCTCTCTATTCCTTTACTCTCCAGTTCTCAAACTTTTTTGTCTCAGGACTCCTTTACCTCTTAAAATTATTGAGGACTCCCCCTCCATGAGCTTGTATTTTTATGGGTTATATCTAATAGTATTTACTATGTTAGAAATGATCAATGAATCGATAAATACTTATTAAACACCTACTATTGCACTGGGCTCAGTGCTAAATATCTTCGTATTAGTATGCAATTTTTTTTTTCACCTTGAGGACCCCCTGAAAGGGTCTAAACATCTCAGGGGTCCCCTGGGATCCCCAGACTGTACTTTGAGAAGCACGGCTTTGGCCACTACCAAATCATCTCGATGCTTATTGTTTTGTTTCTGGTTTTAATCTGTAATCCATTTTGTTTGTAATCTTTGTATTGTTTGTGATCTGATACTGTTAAGACCCCTTCTTACCTCCTTTTTTTTATGATTTCCCTTGAGATTACTGACTGCTTATTCCTCCAGATAAATTTCATTATTATTTTTTCTAGCTCTATTAATCTTTTGGTAGTTGTATTGGTATGACACTAAATAAGTGTCCAGAGACAGTTTCTGGGAGAGTTTAACAGAAAACTGGGAAGACTTCCATGAACTGAGGCAGAGTAAAGTGAGCCGAACCAAGAGAACAATTTATAGAATAATAACGACATGATAAAGACAAATATTCTGGAAGACTTAAGTATTCAGATCAAGCAATGACAAAGGATTAGTCCAGACTGAAGACCACTTTAGAACACAGAAATGATAGATTCAGGGCACAGAATAAGACACACATTTCTGGACATGGTCAACATGGGAGGTTTTTTTTGTTTGGTTGGTTATGTGTATTTATTAGGAAGTTTGTGTGTTGGTGATGGTGGTGGTTATTCTGGGGGGAGAGGTGGAAATAAAGGGTGAGAGGAAGAAAAATGTTCATTAATTGAAAATTTTTAATTTAGGGTGGCGCAGTGGATAGAGAACCGGCCCTGAAGTCAGGAGTACCTGAGTTCAAATCCGGCCTCAGATCAAACACTTAAAACACTTACTAGCTGTGTGACTCTGGGCAAGTCACTTAACTCCAATTGCCTAAAAAATAAAAATTTTAAAAAAAGAAAGTTTTTAATTTAAAAAAGACTAAGATATAGGCATGTACATGGCTAAAAGGAGAGGGAGCTTACAACTTGTTTTGAATTTATGGTATACAAAAGACAAAATTCTTATAGCAACACCCAGACTTACAAATATGAAAAAAAAAGTTATTTCCTTAAATTTAAAACAATATGTATTATCAGTATCACTGGGAAATGCTGTTACTGAAAATTAACATGTTTGCTGCCATAAATCTTCCATTGCCTTAAAATTCCATCTAATCAACCCAAGTCCATATGATTGGCCAAAAGTTCTTCAAACACTTGCAACTAAAAGGAGATGGTTAACATGGCAAGGGAAGGCTCAGAAGTCTTGATATCCTACAGTAACTGAGTAGTTCTCATTTGAAAGAAGGGCAGCTACGTGGCACCATACTGGGTCTAGAGTCAGGAAGAATCATCTTCCTGAGTTCAAATCCAGCCTCAGACACTTCCTTGCTGTGTGACCCCCAGCAAGTCACTTAGTGCTGTTTGCCTCAGTTTCCTCATCTCTCAAATGAGCTGAAGAAGGAAATCGCAAACCACTCCAGTATCTCTACCAAGAAAACCCTAAATGGGGTCATGGCAGTCGGACAAGACTGAAAAACAACTCAACAACCTCTGGAGGAGAGATTAGATTTACTTTGCCTGGCATCCCAAGGATGTCAGGAAAAACCTCCTAAAAATTAGAGTTGTTCAAAAAGAGGTGAATAGAGATGCCTTAGGAGGTGGTGGGTCTTCCTTTATTGGGGGTCTGCAAGCAAAGACTGGATAACCACCTGCCAGGTAAAGCGCAACAAGAATTTTTTTTTCAGGTGTGGATTGATCTCTTCTGATTCCAAAGTTATGTTATTCTGTGATCACCTTTTGCTGGAACAACTCAACCATCCTTGGCTGTTCTGAATACACAGACACACGAATTTACCTCAATGGACTCTACAGCAATGAGATGTACTGAAAAGAGCACAAAATTTGGAGACAGGGAAGCCGGGTTCCAATTCTGCCTCTGGTATTGATTACCTATGTGACATGTAACCTCCCAGTGCCTCAGTTTTCTCATCTATAAAATTGAGGGCTGGACTAGATGGCCTCAGAGGTCACTTCTAGGTCTAGGTCTTTGGTCCTATGATTCTAGAATCCTAGGTCATATGTTTCCCAGGATACATTAAGAGTACAACCTTGGCACTACAACTTTGCAATGTGGAACAGTCACTTTAAGAGTTGCTCAATCCTAACCAGCAACAGTGGAATCTGACCTTGGCTATCCATGGGAGTGTACCCAAGTGTATTTGAGGGGTGGGGGAGTGGAACCTACCCAACCACACAATGCCTTGTTCCAATATCTACCCACAATGATATGATGACTCCATTTAACTCCCTAACTCTCCACTTCTAGAAGAAAAAAGAGTTGTTCTTTATTTTCCCCTCTCCTTCCATCCCTGTAAGAGAAAATAAAGTATCTCTATGTCACTTTCATTTGGCAAAATCCAATACCATGGGCCATTTATGTGACGCTTGTCCCATAATGCTGGGTAATTTCCTCTCTTAATAAGAAGCCAGGATATTTGCAACCTTTCCAAAATCATCTAAAAAGTTAATAACCAAGCCAGGACTGGAGTCTATATTAAATCTAAGCTTCTGACTTTATCTTAGTCTACTGGACCCTTACTCTTAGAACCCAAAGGTTAAATTCATGAAATTCAACCTTCAAACTAACTTTCAATCCCTCTAAAGCCAAAGGAAGGAAGTTTGTGTCTCTATATCCCTAGCACTTTGGACTGGAGCAAATTAAATCAAACTGAAATGAACAGCATTGAATTTGACAAAAGGAAAAACCCAGACTCTGAGCATAAATGATATACCCTATGTCACAGACCAAGCCTAGCGAATATTTTTCATGGCTTTGGAAACCGGGCACTTACCCAGACAGACCATAAAAGTCAAACAAACAGACAATGCTTGTTATGCCAACAAAATTTTACTGGATTCCATTCAGAAGGTCAAAGCTGAACTTTAAACTTTGGCTCTTAAGCCTCCATAAAAGCCTGAAGAATGGTGCTAAAATCAGAGCAACAGAAATTCAGCTACCCCTCCCTTTATTTTTTGAAACTTTCAGGACTCCCGAATGGTGTCAGATGAGCAAGATATTGCAGTTATCTGCTTACAGTGGCACTGACGTAGGCTGGGGGTACAAATGCCAGACTTTCCCAGAATGCCTCAGGAAAGAACCTTGAATACTCGGAATTCAGAAACACTGCACCAAAATATGAAAAGTCACAGTTCTTGCCTTTAATCAATTTAGTTCCTAAGGCAACAAGATAGTTGGATAGACAGATAAATAAATGTTTTTATACATATATGGAGAGGGAGAGAGAGAAAAAGAGAGAGAAAACTCCTTTCATTTTTTATGAGATTTTTTTTCCTTTGCTTTTGTCTTTAATATGAACTTCATGGGGTCTAGAATCGTTTGGACAAGTAAACAAATAACAGTTAAGAATCTAGAATGTCAGGGCAGCTAAGTGGCACAGTAGATAGAGCATTGGCTCTGAAGTCAGGAAGACCTGAGCTCAAATCCAGCCTCGACACATAACACTTACCAGCTGTGTGGCCCTGGGCAAGTCACTTAACCCCATTGCCTAGCAAAAAGAAGAAGAAGAAGAAGAAGAAGAAGAAGAAGAAGAAGAAGAAGAAGAAGAAGAAGAAGAAGAAGAAGAAGAAGAAGAAGAAGAAGAAGAAGAGGAATCTAGAACGTCTCTTTGCATTTGCTGTCCTCTTTACTACCTGAAATGGTCTCTGTCCTTGTCCCCATTCCTTGGAATCTCAGCTCAAAAGCCCCTTCCTCCTCCATGGAGTCTTTTCCTGTACCTCCTAGTGGCTAGGTCAGCCCCCACTCTGCTGATCCCCCCATTACTTTTTTTATATGTGTATATGCCATTTCCTATGATGAAACATGATTCTTGAGGGCAGTGACTGATTCCTTTTCTTCATCATATTCTCAATGCCTGATTAATATGCATGCCTCAGATGTCTCATCTGTAAAATGGGGATAATAATAGCAGCTACTTCCCAGGATTTTTGTGGGGATAAAATGACATATTTGTAAAGTGCTTTGTAAATTTTAAAGTACTATATAAATGCTAGCTATTATTAATAAATAATTGATCAATTACAAACATTAGCCATTTAATTGGAAAAGGCTCCTTATGTAAAGGCAATGTGGTAGTAGAGAGCTGAGCCCAGAGTCAGGAAGGTCTGAGTTCAATTTCTACCCCTGACAGACTTTATGAACCGGCCATATGACCTCTCAGTGGAATTCTGTATAAATGGAAGAGCAGGTACAGATTAGTACTGGTAGAAGAAGTTCCCTATTCCACTGAAATCATAGATGTGATACAAATTGTTGTTGTTGTTGTTGTTGTTGCTAATAATAACAGCTAGCATTTATGTAGCCCTGTACATGTTATCTTATTTGATTCTCATAACAACTCTGTGAAGTAAATGCTATTATTATCATTAACATTTTACAGATGAGGAAACTGAGGCTGAAAAGTTAAGTGAACTGCCGCCCAAGGTCACATAGCCAGCAAGTGTCTGGGGCAGAATTTGAACTCAGTTCTTCTTGACAAGTCCAGGGCTCTAACTTCTACTTTACCTAGTTGTATAGTTGTTTGCAGGAACCCAGGAAGACCTGGGTTTAATTCCTGCCTCTGACACATAGTGGCTGTGTAACCTTGGGTGCTATGTGAGCCTTTACTTCTTCTCTGTACACTCAGGCAATTCTCTAAGGCCAGAAGATGCAGAAAGATGCTGATTTTCATTGGCTGGGGGTTATCAAGGTCATTTTTTTCCTTTTTTTCTTTTTCTTTTTCTTTTTTTGGAGGCAATAGGGGTTAAGTGACTTGCCCAGGGTCACACAGCTAGTAGGTGTCTAAGGCTGTATTTGAACTCAGGTCCTCCTGATTCCAGGGCTGGACTCTCTCTACTGAGCCATCCAGCTGCCCCTATCAAAGCCATTTCTAAGACCTCTTGTAGTTGAACTTGCACTAGCCTGAGAGTCAGGAGACCTGGCTTCTAGTCTCAGCTCTGCCCCTTATCTACATAATCGTGAGCAAGTATATCACTCCGGGCCTCAGTTTCCTTATCTATAAAATAAAAGGTTTGGAAGAAATGCCCCTGTAAGGCTCTAACATCTTACATTTCTATGAGATTTGAAGGAAATCTTTGAATGAGATGGTTTGGCAGCAGGGAAATAGGAGTTCTCTCCTGACCTCTGGGACAGCACGGGCTCAGGGCCAGAGCTCACAGCCAAAGAGGAACTGGGCGGACAGAGCTGGCAAAGCTCAGGCCAGGGGGTGAGTGGCTAGGCTGGGAGAGGAGAGAAGGATGGAGGTTGGGGTGGAGGTGCACGGGGAGGAGGGGGGCTAAATCCTTGGGAAAGTGGAAACTCTGTGGTTTCACCCTTTATCTCGATGGGGGCAGTTTTACCATTCATCTAGAAAAGGACACAATGGATATCCGCTTGTTAATGAGGTACAGTACTCCCCGCCCCCACCCCCATTCTGTTCTCACTTAAAGATTAATCCGAGTTGGTAGTCTGTTTCCCATGCCTACTTGCAAAGACTTTATGAGCAGCATTTCAAAGGGGAAAGAAAACATTTAAAAATACCGTTAAGGAGGCTTTCATTTATTTAACCCTTAATATGTCTATTACTAAATAACTGCTCACATTCTTAGGACACTTTAAGGAAAAAAGAATAAAATAAATATATCTTCTTCCCTCCCCCCCCCACAAAAAAATCCTACAGATTCCCTTAAATTGTATTTTTAAACATTTCAACAGCAATTCCTACAAGCAATTAAAAAAACATTCATTAAGTATCTACTGTGTACCAAGTAGAAAACAGCATAGCATACAGAGATCTGGCCTCAAAGTCAATCAATCAATAAACATATAATCAGGGGGATCTGGGTCTAAGTCCCAACTCTGAGAAGCACCCACTATATGAAATTGAGCAAATCACTTAGTTTCTCGATGTCCTCAGACAACTCTCTAAGAATATAAATCGAAGAGAAGGTGCAGACCTTCATCGGTATAGGGGTTTTCTCATCCAGTAGTTCCCTATACTGGTGAAATCTCAGGTCCTGTCCTATCCCAATGTTGCAAGCACTGGAACTATGAGAACAAAAATGAGACAATACTTAGTTTCAAAGATTTTGCATTCTACTGGAAGGAGACATCATATCCATATCCATAATTGTTGTTGTTTATTTTTTTCCCTGTCATGTCTGACTGTTTGTGATCCCTTTTGGGGTTTTCTTGGCAAAGTTGCTGGAGTGGTCTGACTTTTCCTTCACCAGCTCATTTTTTGGATGAAGAAACTAAGGCAAGCAGGATTAAGTGGTTTACCTAGGATCACATAGCTAGCAAGAGCTAGCTGCATTTGAACTTATGTCTTCCTGACTCCAGGCCCTGCACTCTATCCACTGTTCCACCTAGCTGCCTGCATATACACATGTGCACACACACACACACACACACACACACACACATTGTTTTACTGGTTTTGCCTACTTCATTTTGCATCTGTTCATATAAGTCTCCCCATTTTCAAAGGATGAAGTATATGGGTGCCCGGTATAGAGACATTTTGATCACTGCTGGAGAGGAGGTAAGCCCTGAATATCAGGGTCAGACTAGATTAACCATGTTCCCATTTTGCCAAATCACTGACCAGGTCATCTATGGGGCAGAGTGTCTCGGGGTGAGAATTCCAGGGAATAGTGGTCAGCAGAGTATGGGGTGACAGTAACACAAATGAGTTGCTTGCTAGCCTGCCCTTTCAAAAAAGGACATTCTACTTTCCAAAGCTCCTGGGGAAGTAATAGGCTTTTCTATGGAGCTATCAGACCTTTGCCTAGAAATTCTCGGGGTGACCTACATTTTTATGGATGTTTCCCCAGCAGGGGAGGGTATAGGAGTGGCCTGAGGACCCCGTAAATATCATCTAGTAACCTGGCATTCTGGAAGTTTACCCAACTTGCTTTATGGATGGCATCCAATTCCGTGCTGGGCATTTGGCCAGCTTTCTACTGGACTCATCCAATAGCGGCCATGTAATGATCCCAATAGCTTCCCCAACCCCCTAAATTAAGAGGCCCTGGGAAAGCTAAAAATTCCCAAGTCACTGGATCAGGATAAGGTCCATAGTAATGACTCAAAGCCCCTTTCCTGTTTTGGGGAGTTTGAATATAAACTAGCTGACAATTCTCCAGAAGCCTCCCTCTAAACTAGCATGAATTAAAACCAGTCCCCAGCTGCAGGCTTCTGGCTCCCTTCCCCCAGTGCATGGTCCTGCTAGATACAGATAAGACCTTATAAAAATTCACCACATTTTACTGGCTTGGGTTGCCCTGTTCCCTCTGGGGCCTCAACAGAGAGCACCCAATTCCACCCAGGTTCC